AACTAATGATGTAATGTATGGGGATTAACATAAGAATAAAAAAAAAAGATTATCCCATTGTGTAACAATTGACTTAATCATTCTCCTGTAAGTGGACATTTACATTAACTTGTGGTTTATTAATATTATAAAAATATAGCAGTAAACATATATTGTGAGCCATAGGTCGGCACATATACATGAAAGACGAGAAGCTGCTTAAAAGCTGTGTCTTGTTTCCAAAACTTGTGCCCTGTAGTATCCACCTCACTACATGCAAAATGTATATATAAATTATATATAAATGCATATATAAATATATAAATAATGGTAACTTTGGAAATCATCAAACTGCCACGGTTCTGCCCACATTCAGCATTTGCTTTTCCACTCGAGAAGTTCCAGTAGGGAATATCTATTAATGTCAGTGTGGCTCTGCACAGAGTCCTCGCCATGTCTGGGTCACACTCTTGTACTCGGTATCCATGGCCTGTGCTCAGCTGAAGCTAGAAGCATGTATTTTGAGATGCCTATGGCTGAGGCATTGAGGAGACTTTGGACTCAGGGCTTCGGAAGATTCCTCAGTGCTAAATCACCCCCCAGGGGAGGCTGTTTCACATTCGGGGGCTGTGTCACTGGGGGACTGGAACAGAACTCAGCTACTCAGCTTAAAGGTCCAGAGCTCAATTGTACCCGAGCACAAGGGACTGACTCCGGGAAGACCCTTGGACTGAGGGTTGTTGTGTGCACACACCTTTAGTGTGTGACTGAGAGCCAGGTCCACAGTCTCCTGCAGGTTGGCCTCCGGGCTGTGTAGATACCCTTCTTTACCCCAAATTCTATATAGACCATCTACACTTCTTCTCTCCTTTAGTTAATACATTTAAAACTGGCTAAGGAGAGAGGGTGGTCAAGGACATCATGACTCACAAAGGAGTCTTCATGGATTGTGGCAATGTCACCATAGTCTGGCTGGAAACGGGGTAGCAGAATGCCAGCTTGCATTGTGAACCCCAGGATTTAAGTGAAAGCTGCGGTGGAAAGGCCCAGAATGTGTTCCCAGCCCACAGGTGACACAGCCCTTATCATGCAACACCCTTTCCTCATGACGGGGTCTGGGGAGGAGGTGTGAGTTAGCACAGAGGTATCTTCTAAAATGCTGAGTCACTCAACTCCAGGAATTATGGGTGTGGACCAGACTGGGAACCCGCTGGATCCTTTTAAGTGTAAGTTGGACCCACCCTAAACATCTGGGGGACCTGGAAGAAACCCATGTCATCAACCCAGTTGCAGGCAAATGGCAGAAAAGCTTTAGCCTTTCTGGGATCCCTCAGCTCCTGAGCCCACAAGGGAATCCCAGAGGCTTGAGATACCAGTGACACCTGGACTTGCCCTACTTTCTGGCTCTGTCAAATAGCAAAAAAATCAGGATGAATGAAGGAGTGCCTGCACAGATAGATCAGAGCCTCCCCTCCTCTGCAAAAGCACAACTTGGCAGTGTTCCTTTGCCAGGGCAAGTGATAGCCTGAGGGAGTTAGGGGAGGGCCGAGATGTCCAGGGAGTCTCGAGGCCAGCCACCATGGGGAGAGGATGGCCTGCAGTCACCGTCCCACCCTGGGATTCAGGAGACTCCCAAGCTTGACCCATGGGAGCTTAGACAAGGCACACCTCTGCTCCTCAGCCTCCCAAGCTCTGGTTTAGGAAGAATAGCCACAGATTCCATGCTTCATTTGTGAGATAATACAAACTTAAAAGTTCTCATTGAATAATTGTCATGTATACCCATAAGTCAGGCCCTCGTTGCTGACTCAGGCTGGTAAGTGGCTTTTCCCAATGTAATTCTAGAACTTGATTTGCTCCATGTAATAAATGAGCCATATAATTAAAAAAACCCAATGTTATACTGAAATCCCATTTTAGTATTTTTGTGCAGGAGGAGCTCAGGAAGAATTCAAGGTGGGAAGCATGAGTACATGGATAAGAGGAAAGGCAAGAGCTCAGGTCTTGAATGAGCCACTAGCTTTGGGCTATTGCAGTAAAAAGGGCAAATATTTTAAGTAAAATATCTGAAGGGGTTCTTTTTTTTTTTCAAGGTTTTACTTATTTATCTGTCAGAGAGAGAGCACAAGCAGGGGGAGTGGCAGAG